AATGACCCCGACACGGTTGGATTTAACTTTGCATCTGATTGGTTGAGAAGGCGGGGCGAGTTTTCTAGCCCAATCACAGAGCTAGGTAGAAAAAAAATCAAAGCAATCCCAGCAGTCCCGAATTGCGTTTGATACTCAATCGGGAATAACTCTTGCTGTCGTCCTAAATGTCTCCTACCATTTCTCGTCAGGCATCTGCAGAACACAGGACACATGAAATCATTCGTCCTCGTTTCAGAAGAAGCCATTTCTAAAGGAATTAGGAGAATTGTGGCTCTAACAGGGCCCGAAGCTCTGAGGGCCGAGAAAAAATGTCACTCGTTGGAAGAGAGAGTTGAAAATGTTCAGAATTTGGTGGACGAAAAGATGAAGGACGGTGGGCTTAACATTAAAGAAACTTCACAGGAAATCACAAGAATTAGCGAGGTAAGAAATAATCCTTTTTTAATGTTTTGCATCAGTACGGAGATCAATTTTCTTCCACCAGCGTTTAGGTTATTGTGTTATGTTTATTGTAATAGAAAGAAAATTCAAGTATATCGTGAGCTGAGGTAGTAAGCGAACTTGTTCCTTCAGTTTTTTCTTGAAGGGTGTTCCATTATAACCTTCACCATGGGGAAGTTTCTTCTGATCAATTATTAGCAAGTCGTGGCTGCTTACGAGACTGACTCACATTACTGTTCCCTCTGTCTGCTTCCTCCCTTCGCCCTTTTACTGTTACCCATATATTCCCTTAAGAAGAGCGAGGTTCTGTGAGAATAAAGTTTCTTTTCTGATAGTACAGTTCCAATTGAGTGTCGAACAAGCAAAGTCCCGATGACCAATCAGAATAAAGGTAACATTATCATTAGCCAGTGGGAGCTCAAAATGATAACAAGCAAACTGTTTGAAGCGCGGGAAAACACAGATGATCAAGTCACGATTTTTTTTAGTTTTGTATCTGATTGGTTGAGAGGATGGCACGATTTTTTTGGACAAATCACAAGGAAGAGTTACGATGAACCAAGGCAGTCCCGGGTTACTTCCAACACTCAAATGAAAACTGCTCCAACGCAGAGTTCCACAGCGTGCTCACACTTTCGCCCACTGCATCTCAAATTGTGCTTCTTGGAATGTAGCATGAATTGTGTTAAACTGAAAACGTATATCACTTTTTTCAGCTGAAGAATAAAGCAGTATTTTGAATATTGACGTTTGTTTGTCCTTTGTAAGGATATATCTGCAGCTGTCATTTCGGCGTGGCGTAAAGATGAAATGAGATCCAAACTGAAAATTGTCAAGAAACTTGTTGACGACGCCGACAAAGCTAAGAAAACCATCTTGCAGCAACAGGTAAGTCATATTGAGCATTTGAAAAGTTGCCTGAAGTGTCTGCTGACGAATAAAAGGACATTGGTTGGGAGAACAAAACATTTGATGCAGAAAAACTGATTCTTGATTTAAAGCCAAGTTCTCGATAAGCAAACTACAAGAAGTGTGTACTCATCGGTGAGATGTTGTTTTTTAACATTTAATTTCTAAACAGCAGGGATGTCGCCAAATACGCTAAAGCTTTCCCACCTAAAGATACAGACACTGGGAAATCCTGCATTAATGTCTTACTTGGGCCACGGGAGCGCGACATTAGAAGTTAAGAATAAAAGTAGATAGATGTGAAGAAGTGATAAGGATTTTTTAATTCAATGGCATGACTATCCTAGTCTTGTAACTCAGTTGGAGAATGAGTGCGAATAAAGAACTTGCTGTAAACTTATTTAAATGTCTTTTTTCTTAGGCGATTGATAAGGCTAAAGGTATCGTGGAAGCAGATCGTAACAGATCATTTGTTGTTGATGTGTTTGATGCTGGTTCAAACTCTAAGGTGAGTGACATTTACTATGCGGTTCGCTTAACACGAGTGCAAATTAAAAAAAAGCACGGGCGCGCTGTCAAAATCTTGTCTGTCTTGGCTTTCTGTGATGCTTTTTTTAAGTAAAGTATTAGTTATAACATGATTTCTCTAGTAATTTGGTGCAAATAAATTGTAAATTTTCAAATTCCACAACTATTGTTGGTTTGAAGAATTTACTCCTTCTGATTAACACCAAATCGCACTCGAAATCTTGTTATTACCCATCCAAATCTTAGTGGGTATATTTTTCATAATTCCCAAACTTTCCCTGTATATTTTTAATTTAAGATTCTTGACGCTGCCATGAAACAGTTCAAAAGTTTGGCTCCGAAAATGGCCGCTCTTCTTTTCAGTGTGGATGAAGAAAACTCCAAGATCATCTGCTTGGCTCAAGTGCCCAAGGTTTGTTACAGGGTTAAATTGATCCAGACACCATATATTTTTATTCCCGCTATTGAAAAGTGTATTTTAAAGTTAACTTTTTCAGCGTTTTGCTATTCCAAAGAGTAACATGATCTTTCGAAATTTGTCACCAAATATGCTAAAACATTTCAAAATTTTTGCATGAGGTATAGGGGAATCCTTGTTTACAATATTTGCCTCATTAGCATAAGCAATTCAGTTTCTGGTGGAGCTAAAACTAAATCAGTTCTGAATATCGAAAGGTCAAAGTACGATCAACTCGGCCAATGAATACGACGGACTACCGTTATTGGATCAATTTCAAGTGTATTGGAGAAAGTTTCGAATATTTTCATGTTCATCTTTGAAATCACAGAACTCGGACAGAGTCATGATTTTTTCATATGTACTTTGCGATAGGCTGAGATGAACATTATATGGTTCATCTTCGATCTCAGATTTTTTATTTCATCCAATCTCAGTGGTCATAAGCCAATTGTTCACCTTCAACAGAATGCTGCTCTGAAACTGCTCGTTTAGCATGACTATTAAGAACTAACTGGTCATTCATGTTACTAAAAAGTGTCACGCGAGGGATTCTGAAATCACTATGAGGTCTCATAGTTTTTTCTTACTGTTGATTTACAGGAAGCGATTGCGCGCGGTCTGAAGGCAGATGAATGGGTAAAGTCAGTGTCCGAACTGATTGGTGGAAAATGTGGCGGGAAGGACCTGTCTGCGCAGGGATCTGGGCCAAACGTTGGCTGTGTAAAGAAAGCTGTAGAGACTGCGACAAATTTTGCGCAACAAAAACTTTAAACTTCATGACAACTAAGCTCGATTTAGGAAATTTTTATGCAATCGAAATCGAAGACGTATGCTTCAATGCAATAGTATTTAAATGTTTTGCGAGGTAAGACAGATAGTCGTGGAGCAAAGCAAACACAGGATATGTTTGGTAGTAGCAGTATTAAGTGGGGAAAACTTTAAAACCAGAGGAATCGAAACTCGCCACAAGGCTGCTCTGTCGATTTTCGATCCTGTAAATTTCACCGCCCAATTTTACGTGGTACTGAAAACTGGTTAATATTACGACTACGAAGTAAAGAACTAGTTAATAAAATGTTTTCATTATTCATTAACTCAGTTGCATGTTATTTTATTTTCAAACCACTTCCCGACGCCTAGACGGATATTTTTAAGCGTTTACTGATTCCGTCCAAGTCAAATAGAGGTATTTGAAGACGGCCAAGACCGCAGATTTTATGAGCGGGTGGTCGAATGGCGGGGTGTCTTGGCACGACCAGACAATTTTTACTTCGGGGCAGGGTTAAGGAACGATAAAAAGGAATTTTTTTTCTTCATGATTCACGTTTTAGTTTCAGAAATTTTACTCTTTTCTCTTCACCTTGCCATGAAGGAACGATGTGAAACGCTTATTCTTATTATTATTACCAATTAAGAGAAGTAGGAAGAAAGGTGTGCAACCGCGGGTTTCGAAACCTGCCCTGTCCAAGCAAAGACACTTGTTTAACTTTCGAACCTGTTTCATTGGTATTTGTTTTCTCCACACTGATCTCTCTACATTTCTTCCGGTAAAGACAACGAGAATTTGTTTGAAATCAGGGGTTTCTCAGATTGATTATCATTTCATTTTATTTATTTATTAGCTTCGCCAAAAAACAAACAAACAGACAACAGAAAAAACCGTTGGCGGGGACACCACAACAGCTGTGGCCAATTACAGCGGGCCCGGACACTAATAAAACAAGAAATACTAAAAAGCACAGTAATACAAAAGAAACAACAGCTACATACAACAAGTTATTGGACGAGACAAGGGACGAACACTATTACATTTTAAGCAGATAGACTTGAACGAACGTGGGTCTTCACAATCATGGGAAACAGCTAACGCAGAGTTATAATAATTAAAAATAACCGATTTAAAAGAAGCTAAGGTCAAAAAGCTCAAATCTAGTTCATCTGCTAAACAATTCCAAATTCTACTAGTTCTAATGAGGAAGGATTTTTGGTACGTACTTGTTTTACACTTCTTAATTATGTATTTATTAACATTACTGGTTGAGGATCTAGCATGTCTCCCGTATTTGCGAACTTCAGGTTGGACAGCGGAGTTCACGTTAACAACGGCCGTGTGTCAAAAAAAAGGATTAGATCTAAAATTTCATGCCAGTAACAAATAGGTATTAGGTTTAGGGTGTGTAAGCGAGACTTATAGCTTATATTAGAAGAATAAGGTAATTTTAAGATAAACTTAGTCGCGCGTCTTTGGGTACGCTCAAGCTTGACAATGTGCTCGATGGACTGTGGGACTTCCCTGTCGTGCCGTTTGTATTTTATTCAATGGTGATACTCTAAGGAGAAACTAGAAGCCAATCGCTTAGGCCTTTATAGATTATGCTCGCATAATTTTTGGCATAATTTGAGCAAACTTGCATAATTTCTGCCATAAGCACTTGGTGACGTTATTCGATATTTTAAGTTTTAGTTCAAGTAGTAGCATTTGTAGTTCACTGTGAATCACTGAGCGGCGTCTGAAAAAGTGTGAGCCCGGGTTAACATAAACCACGTGTTTATTTGAATTTCATTGTGGATTTGTTGCATTTCTTTCTTGTAGACCAACGGCTTCTTATTAAAAAATGAATTTTTTGGACTTATTTGCAATTTTTTCAAAGAGCATAATTTTAGTATAATTTCGCCACAAAAAAAGCAATGCTACCAGCATAATCTATAAAGACCTACAGTCGCTCCTGGGGGTTTATAAGGGATTATCAACGTAGTTGATGCGGAAGTTGTAGTAATGAGACCATGAGGAGTTTTGGCGCGCCTGGGAGCTTGGGACTGAACTTGTTCCAATATGGCGTCAGGAAAGAGTTCCAAATTTGACAAAGTTCTTGTCGTTGTGGGCGCAGTCGTGAGCATAAATGTAGTTTCAATCATTGGAACCTACTTCTTGGACATAAAGGAGAAAACTAAGTATAAACTTATCCTGATTCAAAGCTTGCTGGCAACACAATCGCTCTTGTTTTTCACATCAAGATATTTATGGTTACGTTTATGTTCTCCACTTTTCAATTCTCCTTCCGTTCAAAACAGAATTATTTTCCTTCTTTTGATCGTGGTTCTCATCTTAGCCCAAGGAAGTATTATGCTGGGGACTATATTTTCTGGAGTTGAGCCGCATTGGATTTCTTTGTTGTCTTACATATGTTTAGGATTATTTGTACTGTTGACAACGGCGACTTTTCTTTCTGATTTCGTGACGTGGCTGTTTGGAGCTGTAAACACGCGTTCCGGTTCACTTACAACAAAGTCACGCTATGCAAGATTTCACGTCATCGGAATCATCATTATTTCATGTGTATTGGCGATGGTAGCACTACATAATGGCCTCAAAGAACCGCTCGTGAAGAACATCAAACTACCCGTTAAGAATCTTCCTCCAGAATTAAATGGATTCACAATTGTTCACCTTCCTGATCTGCACGTTGGGCCCACTGTAGGGAAGGCCATGCTGGAAAAAACAGTTCGAGCAGCAAATCAATTAAACCCAGATGTTATTGCCTTAACTGGAGATCTGGTTGATTCAACTGTGTATCAGATTCGACAGGCAGTAAAACCACTGCTTAAGTTAAAAGCAAGATATGGTGTTTATTTTGTGACAGGTATAGAGAAAATACTCTGCAGTTTGCTTTTTTAAGTGGTCCTTTAGTTCCAGTCATCCAAGTCAATTACTCTGCTACTGCTGGTGCTTATCCCAAAATAAAATGACCAGGAGTACAAAATTACTACCTCTCCAAGATGGGAAACTCAGGTTCATCATAGGTACCTTCCTGGCAATTTGTCAAGTTTTCCTGGTAGTTTGTTAGTATTCATTCACACTCTTGAAATGTGAAAGGTACAGCAAGAGTCTAGTGATATTCCTAATAGCAGACACTTTGACCAAGCGAGGGCGTAAAACAGGACCTTTCAATTCAAAGTCCTTTTTTTGATCTTGATTCCAGGTTGAACATACACAACAGTCCCCTTGTTACATACTAGAGAAAGGTACATGATAAGTGAGTGTGGAGACTATCAATATGATGTGCTTTTCATTTGTTAGGAAACCACGAGTATTACACTGGTGATGTTGATGGTTGGCTAAAAGAGCTGGAATATCTTGGTGTGACACCTCTGCACAATTCTCATGTTATGTTAACACATCCGGACAAGCCCCATGCAAAAATTTTCCTCGCTGGTGTAGATGATGTAGAAGGTGGATTTCTGAGGTGTGTTATCTAATGATGATACATTTTTACTGTTTAATTTTGTAATTGTCATTATAATTGCAAATTGCTATGGGTACTTTAGAAATGAAATTTAGCTGAATTCTAATATAAACTTAAGGCATAAAATAATTTTCTCTTCAAATTAGATCTGGAGATCACGGTAGTGATTTAACCAAAGCACTGAAAGGAGTTGACAAAAACATTCCTACAATTCTACTTGCTCACAGACCTAAAGTAGCTAAGCTTGCCTTGGATGATTACAGTGTAGATGTTGTCCTTGCTGGCCATACACATGGAGGGCAGTTATTTCCAATACATCTGTGGCACTTGGTCAGGGAACCATACTTTGCAGGATTGTACCAACATAAGTCAGGATCATATGTTTATGTATCTAGTGGAGTCCATTTCTGGGGCATGCCAATGAGATTATGGTCTGAGGCAGAAATCACTCATGTCACTTTAACTACTACAAGTTAAATTACTTTTGTCTCAGTTTGTTTTTCCTATGACGATTTGTTTAAATACATTGTGCAACAGTTCAAATATATGATATTCATATATTCACAGTTGTTCAATCATTACTAACAGGTTTTTAAGAAAAATGACCAGCTCCAAGTTGGCTTGTCAAATCTATAGACTGATACAACAAAGGAAATAACTTTATTTACAAAACAAATTACATAGATTTATGCAATACAAAGAAATTAATATAAAATGTACAACATGCATTGACTTTTTTTTATTGGAACACAAAATAGAAAAAATCTTGTATTAGGACAGGCTTACATGTATTTTTTTATCATAGGTTGTAAAAAATGTGAGACACCTTAAAAGAACATAATTTGAAATAAAAGGTTCATTCCATTCCAGAGGAGAAGTCTATTCTACAAATTATTGGTTTGGGAGTTGTGGAATCTGCTACTACCACTTCCTGTCCATCAGTCAGGCCAATATCTAAAAAGAAAAGTAAATTTGTAGTTTGTTGTGTTACTGAGCCTCAAGCAGTGTGGAAAGAACCAAATGTGTGTGCATTTCCTTCAGGAGAGGGGGTATTGAGACCTATTAGAAACTGCAAAACCGAAGAAAAAAATCATCCAAAATCGAAAAACTGAAACAAAAATTGATCAAAACCAAAATCCGCAAACCACAATGAACATCAAAACCAAAATCCGCAAACCACAATGAACATCAAAACCGAAAAACTTAAGTTTCTTAGCACAAAAACCAAAATACCACCCTAAAAAAATAATAGCCAAAACCACAAAAACTGAAAATCCCAATGCCTCCTTCCTTCAGGTAGTCACGTTCATGAAAGGGACAAAATGTATCATTTTATTTCAATTTGCTTACATACAAGACATTTTCAAAATTGCTGATCTTAACAGAATGCAGGACACTTGTTACTCATCAACAAGCTCTCTGTATCTATAAAGATTGAGAACAAGACCCTAAATCAAAACTTCACAAAATCGGAGGACAACCAGACTTAAAAGGTAGTATTACTTTTAATGTATGGTACTAATTCACACAATTTCCATACCTTTTAACTTCTTGGGTAGATTTTGTTTTGTCCTCTCCTCAATAGACTTCACTGTCTACAACAATAAAAATATCACAAGAAAGCATTGTAAGACTCAATTTATGATAGCCATAATGATTCATTACAAATCTATGAATGAGCACAACATTTACCGTATTATGATTGATGTGAATAATGTTCTTAAGGAGTAATAGCTGTATTTCTGATGGATACACTTCTCTCAGGGGTATCTGATTCTCTGTTGGGATTAGCTTAAATTCCAATTCCTATAAAACATTACCTGCATGTACAAGGTTTTGTTTTTTCCATCAATTACAGTTGTGAGACCAGGTGCCTTCATCTGACTGTTGGAGAAAAACAATTGAATTAAAATAAGATCAACTTTCACTTTAATCCCCACAATCTATTCAAACTTACTATGTCTGGCTCTCTGTCAGAATATCAATCAGGGATTTTAGGGTGGCATCCTCAGGCAAGGTTAATACTTGAGGTCGTTGACTACAAGCTGGGCAGTCATCCTTGAAGAACAAACCACAATCATCAGTCCTACAACCTTCTATCACTAGTCCTGATATTTGTGGATAAATGATAAAGCTGAATATTCTGCCAAGCAAAGTTTCTGTTGTGTTTTCTATAATTTCTGCACCAAACTTAAGGGGGGAGGACAGTGACCCCTCTGCCCCCTTTTCACCCTCCTACATTTATGCCAAAGTCCCCTATCTCCCTTTTCCACCATCTAAAGGTCAATTCTAACAACAGTCATTCTTGGGAATTATAGTTTCTAGGGGCCAAGAATAGAATAGAGAAATCAACCTGAGTGTGTGATTCATTTACAATTGAAGACATCCAGTAGCCAATGTTACCTTTTTCTCAGCCTCAAAAGTGTATGTGTACAGTCCATCAGTATCATTAAACACCATGTAGTTGTTCAGTGGGTTACAGCAACTGGTTAATGGAAAAAATAAACATGGAATTGAAAAGGGATTACCTGTGAGCTAACTGAGCTGAGACACTGAGTTCCTGAAGCAATAAGGAGTGTGGTTTTGCACCAGGAAACATTCTCTACTGCTCTGCTGAAGTGACAGGTAATATTGACCTATTGCAAAGCTGAGACTATAGGAGCTAAGGAAAAGATGTGCTTTGTCTTGGTGTACTAACCTTTAATAGGCAGTGATTGGCAGAGGCAGAGAAAGGAGGGCATATACAGGACTTCAGCTAGCATCACAAGCAAATAAAAATCATAATACTCCGCAGTTAGGGTATGGGAATTTCATATATTAAGCAATTTTGTAATTTACAAAGTACACCCTTCTCCTGTGCCACCTCTGTTTATTGGCTTAAAATTATTAGCTATCATTGATAATTAATTATAGCAAAGTTTTTCCGGTCACCAAGTAAACTATCATGATACAAAAATAAACAAATAAACCATACCTGGATACCAGCTTGAACACCTCAAGAGCACAAGCAGCTGGAACAAATCAAAATGAAATAGAGGAAAGAACCCAGTGAACTATTTAGTAGGACCTTAGAAGCCAAGATAGCCTAAACTAAACCATTTTAAAGTTCATTTTGCAACACCATTCTACACTGGTCACAAATGCCCTACATAGGTTTAGTTGAATAACAGATTCTCCTTTAATAGAACTATCATAACTCAAGACAAGCCTGCATGCAAGAGATATCAAATTGGAAATCATGTTGACAGTGATCAGCAGTTATGCAAATGCAAGTTTGAAAACCAATATCCGCAAACTTATCAATTTACACATGCAATTTAATGCAGAATTCTCTCAGCTGGTAATGAATTTTTCCATAGAATTAGTTAAAAAACTTTATATTAATATATGTCCCAGTCTTCAATCTCTATCCCATATCCCATGGCAGGTCCTTGAAAAGAAGTCATATAACCTTTCATGGTAGTACAGATTTTTGAGAGTGGTTCCACCCTATGGAATCTGTAATTCAAGCTCACTTAGAAGTGAACCACTTTGAGTCAATTTACCTGCAATGACAGCATTGGTGGATGCTACAGCAGGAATAATATGCTTTACTACACCTAGAGGAAGTGAAAAGCCAGATGTCAAAGCCTTTGTCTTGAATATCAGGCAGAGAAAAATGGAATTGCAAAAGATTTAATAAGAATAATCAGTGTTGTGCAGCAACTTAACTTCTTGTTATTAAATTTTTGTTTGTGCCCAATTGACTTTGTACAGAAACCTGAGAAACAATATTTTAAAACTGACTTACTAAAGGAAGCAACAGACCATGCCTAAATACCAAGGAGTGGTTTCTTTGACCATATGTTACAGGTAATCAACAGGTAGTTCCTCTAAGTGCTCACCTTGTGTTAGTCTGTATGTCACTCCCTGGATGTTAAAACTATCTGCCCTTTCTTTAGCTTTGTCATAAATCCACTGAACATGGGTGGGGTCATCTCCATCAACGGGCACACCCTCTAACAAAAGCAAATGCCATTTACTTAATCAGTGACATACGACTCTTGCAAAAATAGCCTCTGCAAAGCCCTCTACCAGAATCAATAGTCAAAGAAAATGTTCATAACTCAAAATGAAAGAGTGATACCTCCAAAGGGATGTTCTTGTGGCCAAACTAATACCTTGGCATATTCCACACAGTGTTCTGGCATACGAGGAGTGTGCGCAATAGTGCACAAAGGAAAGTTAACCTATGAGACAAACAATAATAAACTACTCAATCAACAGCACTAGTCATTGAGGCCAAGAAGAATAACCTACATTGATGAGAAGAAATAACAATTAGGCCCATCAATTATGAAAGATGTATATAAATCAATTAATAAAACTATAACTTACTTGTGGTGGATAGAGATCAAGTGTGCACTCCACACATGCCGTTAAACCTGGTATAATAACTCGTGCATTACCTTTAAAACCTGTACAATTTATCACCATTATAAGAAAAGGAAAAAACATATTAAAAATATATAAACTGGTGTGTAATCAGTTTCCCATTTCATGCTCAACATCTCTTAAAATCCTGGTGTGGACCTTTAGCAACGCAGTATCATCTGAGGCTTTTCCCTTCAGAGAATTCCTACTTTGGCCCAATTACATACAACATGCCAGGGAGATATTACATGTATCTGGGACATCATGACAAAAGCAATTGTCATCCCAAGGAAATAACATAACAATGACCTTTTCCAGATTTCCTTGTCAATGATGGAATCCCAGCAGTTCACACCACATTCTACCAGTCTATCTCAAGATGATCAGTGGTAAACTAAATATGGGCACATTAAGAGGACAACTGTGCACAATTATTATAAATTTAACTTAATTTAAGCATTAAGAGGAAATTCACAGAGAGTTCAAATTTTCTTGAGTCTTGCCTTCTGTTCCACCATCTACCATGGGAATAATACTAGTCTGATCCAGTGTGCCATCATCTTCATACTCTAACAGACTAAGCTGCAACCAAACCAGAGTTTGGATTCCTTTCAAAAACTTTACTGTGATTCTTAAGGCTAGAACTGTAAAATTTATAATCATCTTATGAGTGCTGGGGAAGTAAAATAGAGTTTCAAACTTGGGGTAAATTGATTCTAATATCAAATACAATTATTGAAAATAACAGTGGAAATGAAGTTCCGGCTCCCGGTTAGCTCAAGGGATAGAGCGCTGGACTGTAGTGCGGGAGGTCGAGGGTTCA